TCTATATTATATAACTAAACTATTGTTGTATGTAAAGTAAACAAGGTTTTAAAAATGTTTAAGAAGCTTAATTTAAAATTAAATTAAAATGCTGATCTTACGCCACTGGCCCACTCAGCCCGCTGCCGAACTAGGTGAATGGAACCCCCGGCCGGCAGCAGGCTGAGTGGGCCAGCGGTGTAAGATCAGCATTTTAATTTAATTTTAAATTAAGCTTCTTAAACATTTTTAAAACCTTGTTTACTTTACATACAACAATAGTTTAGTTATATAATATAGACTTATAAAGAGAGACCTTCTAAAAAACGTTAAAATGTATTACCGACACGCGAAACCTTAAGTTAAAGTGCATAAGTGAAGACTCGGCACACCACTTCTGAAAGGCTGCCGACCCCTGATCTAGTTTCAATGTAACCAACCATTTCTGATGGTCAATGGAGTGAACTACTACATTATATTCTACTGCATTTCCCTTGGCAAATTTCCCCGCTCTTCCCATTTGGTCAGGGGGTGAAAATTAAACAATACAATAAGACATTTTTTACCCAATGATTTTCTTTCTGTGACTGAATTAGGGTTGCCAACCCTCCCAGTTTCACCGTGAGTCTCCCAGAATCGGGCTCTATCTCCCAGAGGCTAATTCACTTGTCAGGAAGTCTGAAAATATCCTCTATAGTCCAACAGCAATGTTAAGTATCTTCCTTTTCTCCTTAATCACCTTCCATTTAACTTTCTCCAAACCTCACTATTCCAGAGAAAAGCCTTTAAGGTGGCTTTTTAAACTACAGATCACACTCACTTATAAGGGCTGAAAACACTGACTCCCAGCCTTCGTAATACCTGTCAAAGATCACAATTTCCTATATATTACCCTCCACAGATAATCCATACAAAGCCATACCCACATCTCCCACCCTGCCATAGGCTTCACACATCAACCACCAATATCGGTCTGAAAAATTAATTAATTCATACTTCCGTAACCTGGAGTATGAATCAACATTTTCCATGACCACCTTGAACAAAACACACCCTCCCTTGTAAGACAGGGCTAAGGATCCACCCATGCCTGATAAAGGCCAGAAGGGTGGGTACAGGTACTCTTAAATGTTAATTACTTGAATTACTATTATCATTCATATGTAAAAGAGAAGATTACTTTGCTTTCTTTCATATGGCAATTAGTGAGCTTCTCCCATTGGTAAGAGGGCACAGTTATGGCTGGTACTCGAACTTTAAGAAAATATTTCCCCAGACTTTCTGTATGGCCTATGAATATAATATAAATTTGAACTGATATTGAAGGAGGAAGGAAAAAATATTAAATAAACCATTTACCCATGATAAACAAGGATCCTGTCTTTGATAAAATGAAGTATTTTTTCAAAATATTCCAGGTACCTCATGTTAATGACTTGTCCCCTGTAGATAGAAGATAAATAAAAAATACTTTTAAATGTTTACTAGGATAATCCACTTCATAACTAACATGTATGTGTTCATAAAAGCATGATATGTGATTTCTATACAGCAGTGTATGGAAGAGTAGTGGAAGCTTAATCAGAGGTTTGTCTGAATAAATAAGCAAGCCATTTATTTTCAACAGGGGACTTGTAGAATCTCTTGCTGCTTTTCAACAAGCTACTTTTCATGGGTGCTCCCCCACTACCACCAGTGTTCTTGTGTACAGTTTAAAAAAAACAGTACCACAATTACCAATTTGGATTTGCAAATATTTTTTGTATACAACTATTTACCCTGGTAGAAAGCTGTGTGTGTTTATATGTGAAGATAAATGCAGGGACTGATAATCCTAACTGTAACTGGTTTACTTTGAGCACTGGTATGTGATTGTGATGTCTGTTCTAAACAACTTAAGTATCCTCTTCTCATGGATGTGTTTGTATTAACTGTCCCTAAATCCCACACATAAAATTGTATTTTTTTTTTAAATCAAAGTTTTCTGGGATGATTCACTGAACCCTGATTCAGAGCAGGGGGAATATCTTAAGGACACTGCAAAATATCAAGTATTCACTTTTTTTTATTATTATTATTATTAAAGGGTGGGGGAGAATGAGTGGAGTGCAATAACTTTATATGGAAACGTGTTTTAGAAAGACACCAGATGTTTCAAACTCCAGGACATTTTCAAGAACATTTTCATTTCTAGTTGCTATCTAAATACTGCACTCTACTGCTCTTCCAGGAAATTAAATATGTAATCAGCAGTTCACAAGCAAAACAAACAGCTGACTTGGTGCCTTCTTCCTTGAACATTAGGTATGAGCCTGTAAACTCTCAAAAGAGTCCTGTCAGGATTGTAGCCATACATAATGCCTTCAACGGGAACATTACGTACCATTATTGCATTTGTAGGAATCCTTCATGTTCTCCAGTCTACAAAATAAGATTTTATACAGCAAATGTTACAGCTACATATACCAGGAGGCTAAAACCACTGTCAATCATAGGAGATGTGTTTATAGTCTCTATCCTCTTTCTATAATTATTCAGAGCCTGATTCTAGCACCTTAACTCATTTTGTGCTGCACACCTTACTACTCACACAGTCCCACTGATTTTAATTTACCTCAATGGGAATAAACACTGATCAGAATTAGAATATTCAAGTGTGTATGTTAGAAAAGAAAGGGAAAGAGAATAGATGATAAACAGTTACTGATACGATTTGCCCTTGTTGTACGTCCCATCTTATTCCATCCTACACAAAAGCTTTCTGTACAACAGGCAGAAGTATGAAGGAGTAAAAATAAGAAAACAGGATTTCCTTGAATGGTAGCTTGGAGAACTCAGATATCAAAGTCAGCCTAAAAGGATGTTGGATCTAGTCAGTGAGGAGTGGTAATGAATAAGGAAAGACATCAGGTAGTGACTCAAGAGTTGTTTGTTGTTCCTCAACTCCCTCTACTTGATAGGCATTGCCACCTCTTCAGAATTCCCAAGAACAGATAGTAGTAGTGGGTGTCTCAACATATATTTGGAAGAATACTGACAGCTTTCATCAGTCAGAACAGGTCTCAAATCCTCGTTTTGCCCATGAAAACAAAAGTTTGGACTTTCAAAAAGGCAAAGTAAGATCTGATAACTTATAACGGGATGGAAGTGAGCCAAAGGCACTCTTATACTGACTCAGAAGAGCAGAAACGACAGCTTAATATCTGCACCTTAAGAATGCTAAGCCCTACACCCTTACAGAACCCTAAGAAGATCAAGTAAAAAGACTTTGTAAACACTTGTCAGGTGTTCCCAAAGGACCACCCAACAGAAATGTTCCAAATTAGAGTGACTAAAAGACTACGGTGGAAAGTTTTCTGGTACTTTCCAGACGTTAAGCCTCTACAAGGAAAAAAATCTAATGCAGAAACCATCATTTATCATCCTCCAAGATGACAGACTCAGGTAGTAAGAACTGTTGAATGGAATTGGACCTTGCATAAAGGAGTCCCTGCAAAGAAGGTATTGTTAGCATGGACCTAACAAAAGGACTATTATGTACAGAAACAATAGGTGACAGTATGGGACAAAGGGATCCTATGAGACTAGGCTGAGCACCGTCTGACCTGATCTTTTATAACTATGCAAGGGAATCAAGTGAGTGGAGGTAACAAGTTTCCAAACCCTTTTCTCCATTCCCAGGAGAACACGTACTTTATCCTGCAAATCAAAGTGTGAAAAAAGAGGTAATTTTGGTTCACCTCCAGCTTCCCAGCAGTCTACTATGGGCTCTACTGCAAGCAATCAAACTTATAAATTAATGGAGATATCCTATCTCCTAGAACTGGAAAGGACCTTGAAAGGTCATCGAGTCCAGCCCCCTGCCTTCACTAGCAGGACCAAGTACTGATTTTGCCCCAGATCCCTAAGTGGCCCCCTCAAGGATTGAACTCACAACCCTGGGTTTAGCAGGCCAATGCTCAAACCACTGAGCTATCCCCTCCCTCCACTTACTGCTCTTGGTACTCATTGAAACAACCTACACAATTTTTTTGTTCATCTAACTACCATATACAGAAATCAAATTGGGCTAGTTCATGCAGCTCTGCAAATTAGTACTACTTTTTTTGAGCCTGCTATCTTGTGCTCAAGAATCCAAGCTTGATAAAGAGTAAGCCTCTAGCCTTTATGGTTGTGAAAATAACCTTCAATATATAAACTGAACAGAAACCAATGCTTAAGTGTGCCTGAAACAACAGCCCAGAGGTGTGAAATGATCCCATTCATCTCAACAAGGTTTTCATTCTGAAGCCTAGTTATGATATACGAATTAGCAGTATTTCAAAACTATTTCATGGCTGATTAAAGCACACAAGAAGGGATTATCCTATTTGTGCAGATTTGCACAATCTATTGCAAGTGATATCTCATTTTGATGTCATGAGTGGATGGAAGGCAGAGCTACCACTACCTACTACTCTCTCCAGATGCCTCATTCAATCCCAGATTAAATGGTTATTCTCAGAAAGGAATTCGGTAGTGTGCAAAGGAGAAAGTGGGCTCTTGGACTCAGAAAGGATGCAGTCAAAATTTGTGATGGGGAAGCGTGAAGGTTCACTAGTCTGGGAAGATTTAGGCCCCTGCAAACTGATTAATATCCCTACCTGGATTACAATCTTTCTGTCAAGAAAGCACTATAGTATTATTCAAGCCATGGTACAGACCCAGGAGCACAGGTCAGGCCAAAAGGAAAGGTCAGAAATTGATTCAGTCTGGTCCTGCACCTTATGAAGAGACAGTAACCCATTTCAGTACAAGTACAGCCTAGATATCTCACAGGGACTCACTAGACTTGTTGGAACATCAAACTATAGGATTGCTAGTGTTATCTGATGAGAGAAAGGTATAAGAAATATTTAGACTACTGAGAGACAAGCAGGGTTACTGAACTGAAGGTCAGGGACAGAGAAATGCCTTTGCAAAGTAGGCACTCTTTCCTCACTATTAATAACACTAGCAAAAGTAGGGCATTCCTTAGAGTTCTCTTTTTTCTACTGACGATGCAAGCCAAAGCTGGAGGTTCAAGCTCCGCTTCTCCCGCTATCTCCCATATTGAGGAAAAAACACAGGTAATGAGTTATGGCCTGAGGTAGGGGTTGCCCTCCACCCTTTAAGAATGAAGAGTGTTTGGATTCTGCTACATCTTTAATGGGAGAGAGAGGAGGATAAAGCAGAAGTCAAGAGAAGACTGGGGCCCAGGAAGCAGAATTTAATTTGAGAGGAAGAACACAGAAGTCTGAGCACAACATTGGCCCTGAAGAGCTGGAAATAGCTAATGTATCTGGCCCTACAAGGCAGTTACTGAGCTACATCAGAGTTTCAGCCAAACCTGTACCTGCATACCCCAGAGAAAACGTCAGATGGCTGGGCTCCATTCTGTGGAATGGGAAATGGTAGGAGTTGCCGAGAGAGAGAGAAAGAACACTATCATCCTGTGCACTGAGAGCTTTAAACGTCAGTAATTCTTTCTGTAAAATATTTGTAGAAAGTTCTTTTTCTAATTTTTTTCTTTTTGAGTAACACTGAAAAACAGGGTTAGAAATAAAAGTAGCAGGACTGAACAAGGATTCTGCTTCCCATAAAGGAAGATGGGAGCATGGCTACATATTTGCGAGCGTACACACACTCTCCATCCATGACTGACAGTGATTTTGCCACATGTCTCTCCTTTCTCCATTGTTTCGTGGTAGGTGGAGCTGTAATGCTTGCGATACAGAATCTTGTTTTATGGTATGAAGAAGGAGGAACGTACAATAATGATTTGAATTTTTCAAGTTTGAACCTTTTTCTGAAACTGCAGTTATCTTTCAGCTTCTTAGGTATTTTGACACCTGTGTCTTTAACCTTTCCATGCTGAAACATTTCCTCTAAATACTACTAATGGATGATGGTTACAAAGTAGGAAACACAGATTGCCTAGTACTGTGCAATTACAGCTGGCAGTATTGCCTTCTGGGAGTAGCATTTGTGGAAAATACATCAATGACAATGGGTTTAATCTTAGGTATATGAAGTAGGTATTTTAATTTGGGAATTAAAAACTAGAATGAAAAGTTATCTTTTGGGACCTATTTATCTCTCGCCAAAATAAAGATAATGTAAAACATTAGATTCAGAAAAAAGAAGGGGGTGAAAAAAAAATCATGAGAGATGATAATTGGTTTTTTAATGAGTGGAAAAATAAACAAAAGCTCTACTAGAATTAAAAACAAAACAGTCAAAACGTTAGACATTACATAGTATGTACACACTGAACACTGTCAGCTATAATAGTTCACGAACAGCCTACATATTTTAGCACAATTCCTAATGCAAACAAGATTAGGCAAAAACTTCATACCTGATTAGATTGATGTGGTTATTAAAGCCTCTACTAAGACTTCGAGCTGGCATTTGGTCTAACCAAAGCACGGGCTGGTCTGGATCAGCTATCCTACAAAGAAATACCCTGTTAAAATTTGTGCACCTAAAGAAGTCTTATTACAGGTCATATTTTAAATCAAGAAAATATCAGGTATGAAAATTTCTAAAGTTTCATCTTAAACATAACTGCCAACCTGTGCTGCCATCTGATGTAACCTATGGCTCTGAGAAGCTGGTTCATGCATCAATGCCTTTAAGCAAAGCTTGAATTCAGAGATCATAAAACAAGGTGCTGATTTTTTTTTTCTGAAATGTGTATCAGCTTCTGTAACAGGAAGAAAGCAGTTCATAAAATTCTCACTAATGCAGCTAGACAGTTTGAAATAGTTAACTCTTTGCTAGCAGAGTAAATCGCTGCAAAGTATCCTGCAATCTTTCATAGCTTTTTTTTAACTACCTAATACAAAAGGGAAAACAAGAATATTTTCAGGAATAAAAATTTCTGTGGGTTCATTTTAACACATGCTCTAACCTAGCAACTTGTATCCTCCTCTGGTATCCGAGAACCACTTCCCATAAGAAAAAGAGGGCAGTAACTTCACTTCCCTATCTTTTCTCATGTAGGGCTGCTAAAACGGGGGCACTAGCTCAAGAGCAAAGTCCTCCATTTATCCAAAGAACAGGTGGAGCACAAGTGGTGGGAGGTCAAGCTTCCCCAATATTGCCCGACAGGTATGCTTCAAATATTATTTGGGGGTAGATTTACATTTAATAACAGTAACAGATTACTGCTACTTATTAGCTCGTTACACCTAATAATTGTGCACACCGCCAGTCTAGGATAAAAACCTTTTCATATTATTGTTACTACATCCCCCCTCTCCCACTTGTTTCATCCATGTTATATATCTTGTCTTTTAGACTAACTTCTCTTGGATAGGTACTGTCTTTTTACTTCATGTCTGTACAGAGTCTAGCACAATGGGGTCCTGACTTGGTTAAGGACTCTAGGCAATACTAAAGTATTGTCTACAGTTACAAACATACATGGTTCTTCAGGATGTATTGTCCACATGACTTCCAGCTTTTGGTGAGCATGTGCATGAGACTGGATTCTTCTGGCCATTAATATCGATTGGGGTCATGTCAATGCCCTAATGCATCCCTCCCCATTGTCTCTCAGTTCTTTAGCCAGAGTCTGTAGTAGTACTTGATGAGCATCCTCAGTGCTATAGAAAACTAAAAAGCAGAACTCTGTACTGGTAGTGATGGACTCACTGATAGATGGTCCAGTGTTTAGGGCAGTAGCCTAGGAATTAGAGGCCCTAAATTTAACTCCTTGCTCTGCCAGATTACCTGTGTGATCTTGGGCAAGCCAATTAGTCTCTCTGTGTCTTGGTTCGTTGTCTGTAAAATGGAGATAATAGCACTTCCTTACCTCATGTGCGTGTTGTGAGGATAAATACATTAAAGACTGACATGTTCAGACACTACAGCGATGAGGGGGCCACAGTGGTCATTTAGTGAGATGTTTCTACCAGGAATCTGAGGTATATCTAATGGGCTGGATGAATGGATGTATGGAAACAGGCATTTTGCATGTCGAGAGCTGCAAACCAGCCTTGAGGATCTAACAAGAAAATTATGGAGGCCAAATGAACATCCAGAATTTGAAACAGCAAATGAAGTTGTTGGCATGTTGAAAATCCAGGATGGGTCACCAACTAATGGTACTTTGGAATGAGAAAGTAACGGGAATAAAAATGTCTGCCCCTAAATTCTAAGGGCATTTCCTCCACTGCTTCCAGTTGTAGGACCCACTGGTCCAAGATGATTCTAGCCCAACCTTCCTGGAAATAAAAGAGGCAGTTGCCATGTTGATGTGGAAAGGGCAGGGAGGGGTCTAAAGTATCCTCTGATGGTTCTACCAAGCTTTTGAAATTGACTGGTGGAAGCCTCAGATTGAGGGGCAGCAGAAGACCAGACAGAGGGCCATCTCCAGTGGACTCTCTCTCTCTCTTCCTCTGTAGCTCTGAAGTCCTCTGTGGCTGATGACAATATTGGACAGAGAAGTGCTGTCTGAATAAGGGTTCTGACTTTTTTATTTTCTTTTTGGGGCAGAAAAAAGAGGCCCAGAGAGTACAGAGTTACCCGTAGGTCTTTAAAGGAGTGGAGGGCCAAAGTTTGTTGCCCTCAAATGGTAAGTCCTTGCTTGTTGTCTAGAACCCCCTGGGATTCCCCAGGTAGTGAAGCTATGATGACCTTTCTCATTGCTACTGCATTAGCCATAGTATGCACTGCGGTGTGAACAGCACATGGAGGGGTTCCAGGAGGGATGTTCCCTATGACTCCCAGGTCTCTTTCTGCTACTCTCAAGGAATCTTCTTTAGAATAGCTTCCCAATTCCCACTGTGCTATCCAGGGAGTTGAGAGCAATGGGTGGGAGAGGAGTCCCTACCATGTTCAGAGGTGGAGGAGGAGGAGGAGGAGTAATATACTTCCTCCAAGGGAAGGGGCCATTCTACTGGGACTGCCCTGCCTCTGAAGGAGAGGTCAGTACCAGGAATACCTCCTTAGCCTGATATTCTAGTAACTCTGAAGCTGGTGGTTTGGACATCACCACCGTCACGCTCTTAAGGAAAGGTGACTCCAGCACCAAATCTATTTGGCACCATGTATGCTTTGTACCAAGATAGCTGGTAGCAAGGTAGCAGGTACTGCTGGACACTGTTTCAAGGCAACCAAGACTGAGGCGGAAGGTACAAGGCTTCTAGTTCTGATGCATTTGGTGCCAAGACTCTGTGTTCTAAGGTGCTCAGTGGTAAGGTTGGTACCAAGAGAAGTGCAGTCCACATATTTAGTAGGTACCACTTCTGCTCGCTTAGTGGTCAGTACCTGGGAAACAGAAGGGGTCTTAACAGGCTTCTGGCTCTTAGATGGAGTGCAACACAAATCAGAAGCATGACGACTCTTGTGCCTCAACTTACTAGGCACCAGAGATGGTGACCTGTGCTTTGCTCATCCCTAAAACCATGTTCTTTCCTGCCCACCAGAGGACGTCAATGCCAGAATAATGGCAGACAAACGGGGCCTTTGAGTAGATGTGGCCTAAAAACTCAGACTGAAATCTCAGCTCATCAGGGCACTAATGGAGCAAGACTTACAGATGTCTGAGGCTGGGCAGTAGCTTTCCTCTCTGAGTCAGAGGAGGCTTGTATCAATTTCTGAAGGAGGAACTGCTTCCAGCAGGCTGCTCTAGCTCTAAGTGCATGCACAGAAGGAGCAACATACAGAACATCACCCAGGGATGGGTCCCTCTCCTAGGCAGAGTCAGGGCCGTCTCCAATGTTTTTGCTGCCCCAAGCAGCAAACGGGTGCGGGGGGCAGGGAGAAGAGGCGCGATCAGCACTTCTACCGCCGCTGCTTCATTCTTCGGCGGCAATTTGGTGGCAGGTCCTTCCCTCCGAGAGGGACTGAGGGACCCGCCGCCGAATTGCCGCTGAAGAGCCAGATGTGCCGTCCCTCTCCGTTGGCCACCCCAAACACCTGCTTGCTGCGCTGGTGCCGGCCCTGGGCAGAGGCACTCATGATTCATAGACATCAAAGCATCACACAAGGGATAAGCAATGAATTCTGGTGATTTAGCTTCTGCCATGTTGCTAGCAACCCTTTATTGGGGGTTGGGGTGTCCAGTCTATCTGGACTACCTAACAAAGCAATTTTTTTTTAAATCAACATGCATTTTACCAACTATAATCCCAATTCACACTAGCACCACACAGAGCAAAGAGTGGACATTACAAGAGTTTCATTTCGCCGTCACAGGCAGTAAGAAGGAACTGAGGGACAGTTGGGCCCTCAGGTGTGTGTGGGGGGTGGGGTGGGCGGCTTACAGCCATCTACAGCACAGGCATGGCCCTAACAGACACTAAGAACTAAAAGAATCCAGGTTTCAGAGTAGCAGCCGTGTTAGTCTGTATCCGCAAAAAGAACAGGAGTACTTGTGGCACCTTAGAGACTAACAAATTTATTAGAGCATAAGCTTTCATGGGATGGAAATTATTGAAAATTTTTTCATCAGCCATACTATCAGGGGCTCGTTCACCTGTACATCTACCAATGTGATATATGCCATCATGTGCCAGCAATGCCTCTCTGCCATGTACATTGGCCAAACCGGACAGTCTCTACGCAAAAGAATTAATGGACACAAATCTGACATCAGGAATCATAATACTCAAAAACCAGTGGGAGAACACTTTAACCTGTCTGGCCATTCAATGACAGACCTGCGGGTGGCTATCTTACAACAGAAAAACTTCAAAAACAGATTCCAACGACAGACTGCTGAGCTGGAATTGATATGCAAACTAGATACAATCAACTTAGGACTGAATAAGGACTGGGAATGGCTGAGCCATTACAAACATTGAATCTATCTCCCCTTGTAAGTATTCTCACACTTCTTATCAAACTGTCTGTACTGGGCTATCTTGATTATCACTTCAAAAGTTTTTTCCTCTTACTTAATTGGCCTCTCAGAGTTGGTAAGACAACTCCCCCCGTTCATGCTCTCTGTATGTGTGTATATAGATCTCCTCAATATATATTCCACTCTATATGCATCCGAAGAAGTGGGCTGTAGTCCACGAAAGCTTATGCTCTAATAAATTTGTTAGTCTCTAAGGTGCCACAAGTACTCCTGTTCTTTTTAAAAGAATCCAATCACACACACACACGTGCCAAGAGTGACATCCATGGGCCAATCATTCAAAAAAGAATGAAATAGTTGATTCTCATTTATATCTCTGCTGAGACTGTCACTAAGGGTGCTAATTATTGTGCCTTGACCAAAAGTTTCTGAGAAATGGACATCAGTTGGACTGCATTTGAAACAGTAATCTAGAACAAAGTTCTTCAAACTGAATTGCAACTCCCAGGAAGGGGAAGTATGTTGGCGGAAGCGGTGAAAAAAATGTAAGATTTTTGTAAATAACGCAATTGATGTAGTGTATAAATTTTGTTAACAATTTTTACAACAAAAATAGTCTTACTATTCAAGTTATTTTTACCTTATTGAGAACAAGTAAAATTGAAAGCAGAGGCTAGAAAGATGGTTAGATTCAGGCTCCCATTTAAAAACAATGCATGTCATCACAAGAGATCAACTTGTTTTTATTCTTCCTTGCAAAGTTCAGAAAAAAAAGCCCAGAAATTTCTTTATAAAAAGGAACTTTAAAGCATGCTCTGCATACCAAATCTTTTTGATTCCTACAGTTAACTCAGTAGTGGTCATACTATTTAATGGACTTCCCTCCCCAAATGGATTAACTGATGGAAAAAAATACAATGCAAGAGTCCTTTGCGTGTGAAGAAAGTCTAAACTACTTTACAATAACCAACCTCTATTCTGCTAGCTGAATTCGTATCCCACTACCCCCGTCTCCTTTAAAACACTTATTTATTTCAGTTTTTCAAATTCATCTTGTGAAAAAGTGCAGTGCCTCTAATCTCTGCCAAGTGCAGACCAAGGAGACCTCAACCTGCAAGAGTATTCCTCCTTTGGATGAAGAGTTGTTAAACATCCCTTTATGAAAATCCCTGCAAACACTGCACAGTGGACCAGCCCATAAGTGAGGATGCAGTTAAAGCAGTAGGGGCTAAGATTCCAAAGAGATCTGCCTCCACATCTAGTACAAAGCCTGCAGTTGTTCAGTCTGTCTTAAATTCCACTAACTGGAACTTACATCAATATCACAAGATAAGGCTTAGTAGCTCTCTTCTCTTAAGCATTACCTTCGCCATTTCACAGCAATGTCAAACATATCTCTCCACTGCATCAATCTGGTTTTCCCATTCATTCGAACTTTTGAGTTTGCCCACGTCCGCTGCACAGCTTGCATTACTTCCAAAGCAGCCAGCCCCATTGCTGAACAACAAAGAATATATAGAACCAATTAGTCCACTCAGAGCCTTTCCATTGTATAGGGGGGAACTGAAGCAGCCAAGATAACAGACCTGTTCAAGGGAACAGAAGTAGCTAGTGTTAATGCTGGTATTAAGACCCAGTAGCTCATGGCTTCCAGTCCAGAGCTAGACCATGATGCCTCAGAAAATATGTACCTATTAAGATACGAAGTGTGGTTATCTGTAAATTTTACATCTACACATTTTTGTAGAATACATTTCAGATGAATGGAAATGTAAAGAAAAAGGTTTTACAACTGCATATCACTTTAAGAGTATATTTTTACTTAAACCGCTGCAGCTGCATCACTGTAGGTAATGCACCTCCCGTATAACTGGTAGCTAGGTCTACGGAAGAATTCTTCATCGACCTAGTGCTGTCTACATCAGGAGTCAGTTGGCAAAGCTACGTCCTTCAGGGATGTGGATTTTGCACATCCCTGAGACGTCATTATGCCGATAAGTACCCAGTGTAAAACAACCTTAAGTTTATTAGCTTAAAGTGCTATCAAAGCAAGCATTGACATTTTTAGTTTCCATTCCCAGGTGGAGAGTCCCCCCGCATACCTCTGTGTATTCTCTTATTTGGAAGGAATCCTGGTGTCTCATATTGCATCAGTGAACCCAGACGATCAGCCACACATACAAGTTCTTGCACTTCAGGTTTATAGCTTTCAAAATTCTGAAATAGCACATCCCTTGAAGAAAAAAATGTCACAAAGTAAATATCAACCACCATCTGCCATGATGGCTCCTGAAAACAGCTTAAAAACAATCTATTTGTGGTGGTCAGTAACATAAGCCCAGAAAAGAATTAAAAGCAGTACCAAAAAACACACGTGTTGTAGATACACACACAAACCAAACGAGGTGAAATTCTGACCCCAATGAAGTCAATAGCAAAACTCATTCATCTCAACAGGAACAGTATTTCACCATCAGACTTAATTATTGCAAAAGGCTTTGTAGTGAGTCACCTCCTCAGTGTTTATTAATCCTGAATTTCATAGGGATCAGAGCTATGGCATGAAAGAAAACATGAGGAGTAACACAGACTAGGGGTCTGATTCTGTAATTCCTTCTCTAAAATGCCGACTGAAGTCAGTAGATGTTTTGCATGCATAAGAAATGCAGGTTTGAGCCCATACCTACAAAATGGCAAGTTTCTAAGCCATGTTGTGTGAAATGACCATAAAACTGAAGGCTAGTTTTCAGAGAGAGAGAAAATCTCATGTAGGGAAAAGGTCTACTTCCCTGATAGTTAAACTTTTAAATCCTAATCTGATAAAGCCTTTGCTTTGGTGACTGATTACCACCACTCTAGAGGTGGAGCGTAAGACACAATTTCCTTCAGTCAGAGTTACAATTAATATATCTAATGTCCGAGTAACTGAGAAATTATACCGTTAAAAAAAAAATCTTAAATACTTAACAGTAAGAAAACTCCAAATTGAGGTTTCTACACTAGGGATGGATGTCCAGATGGAAGTCTATCCTGAGTTTCTCTAGTACTAAAGTGTTCTATAATCTAATTACCCCTAATCCAGTTCCAAGACAAAATAAAGAACAAAACAGTTAACATGGCTGTATAACCTGAATTATCTTTACTGAATTACATGGAACTAGAGAAGATCATTTTGACCAAGTTCTGATTCCACCTCTTTTTTACTGAGCTGGATCAAGCATTTGAAGCCCCTCTGAATTTGAAAAGTGCCCAACATTTTCTGTGGGCTTCAGGCAGCGTTAAACATTTGTGACAAATTAATCCTCAGATGCCATTTTTTGAAAAAATCCTACCAGGAATGCTCTAAATGGTCTGTCTAAAAACCACTCACTTTATATGTGGCTGCAATCCTGGCTGTTCTTCATAGTCTTCTATTAAAAAGGGAAGGTTTTTGGCCCAATGGTCCTTAAAGTTTCCAGGAAGATCTGTATCTACATTATATTCCGTAAGAGGGGTATCAAGATGGGCATGCAAATATCGAGAATATTCTGCGGAGGTAAAGAAAAACAATACAAATAAGTGTTATTTTTGTTCTCGGCCAACAGTTACTTTCCCCCAAAGAAGAATTTAAAACAGGAGTATATATTTGTTAAGATATTTAAGATAAATAGCTTACTAAATTAATCAATGTTAAACTTGATCCTAGATAAACAGTTAAAAGTCTAGGCCAGTTAAGTGGTACCATAGTTACTTTTACTACTAAACCAAGACCCAAGTTTGATTTCTGGTCCTGGCTTTTAACTCTGAACAAACAAGCGCCAAGACACCTATGAAGTCAGCTCACTCAACACAACACTCAGGTGAATAAATACATCTTACTTAAAATAGTTTTCCATAAGTGACTCTTACACTTAGGCAATTTTAGTCCTATGTCAAAGGACATTTCCCCCCCAACCATAACTTACCTCGGAGGTATTTCACTTTTAGGTACTCTGGGCTAGCCTTCTGGCCTGGTAGTGGATCATTTAACATAACCTTGGTCTGAGCTTTTATGCCCTCATAAAACTGCCCCATTGCAACATGACTGAGACCTTTCATATACTGGCATACTTCATTATATGGCTCTAGCTGAAGACATCTCTAGAAGATTAAAGAAACAAGTCAATAATAAAAAAAATTAACCTGGGTATCTTGGAACTATCTAATATACATTACTAAGCTCTTTAGTCACAAGGCCGACACCAGGGAATGGTCTTTTACTTTCAAAAGTTGTCAGCAACTGTTTTCCCAATGACTTTTCTTCAACTGATGTTAAAAACAATTTAATTAATTGCTAGCTAAGATGGAGAAAATATTTTCATCACCATTACATAAAATGTAACAGTGTTGGTGAAACTTGATCTTGATCACATTTTCGGTAACCAAGTGATTTTGTTGAAGCTACACTCGCAGCTAAACAGTTTTCAGCACCAGATGAGAGGCTAGAAGGAACCCACTGTTGACAAGCATTGGCATAACATGTCATTTCCTAGTGCAAACCGACCCTAAAATTAGGAGACATTTTTCTTAAGATGCAACTTTATACAATGTATCCACCATCAGTTCTTCTCTTCCACCAAGCATCATAGCTCTGAAATTCACGCACTGCACTACCATTACCTGACAGTCAATTCTGTACTACATCATGATAGTTTTAGCATAATGCTAGACAATAGGATACTTTAGAATTTGGTACCCCAAAACAAAATTCTCTGACCACATGGATGTATTAAACACTCAGGAGTTATCTGCATCTCTTCACACAGCATTTGCTATTTAAACTGTTTTTTAAAATACAAGATCTACAAATTGAGTCACAAAGCAGGGACACATGGTAATTTACATAAAGATATACAATGTTCTAAATAAACAAAAAGGAAAGTGTGCTTGTTAAGATAGGGAAGTAGGGATTCTTAGACTTGGCTCTGTTCCTTGCTCTGCCGATGACTCACTGTGAGACTTTGGGCAAGTCATTTAACATCTGTGCCTTAGTTTCTGGATCTGCAAAATTAGAATATAATTTATCTACCTCATGGACAGGCACGTGTTTTTACAATTTCAGATGGATCACTCTACACAAAAGTGTTAGCTTTTATTGTTCATGATGGAGAAAACTCAAAAGATTCAGATCCAAAAGTTCAGATGCTTATCTGAACCTAGAGATTACAAAATTGGCTACTTGTTTTTATGAGAACAGCCCTCCAACCCCTTATGGGATTTCAAAACTTTGGGTACCACTTCTGACCAAATTACTGAATAAAACCAATCTGAGCATTTCAAAACCTTATAAAATACCATTTAAGAGTCTAGTATTAACAATTGGTAAGTCTGAGGGAAAATGTCTCAGTTCCCTCCCATGCCTGAACTGATTCATCATTCACTAATTGTAAGACTACAAATCATGCTTACAAAACAGATTGTATACAGAATTGTATTTTACTTGCAATACAAATTTTCATTCATATTCAGAATGTGGAACATAACATTATTGTATTTCATTTTAATTGTAATTTGATAAGTACTAGGTCTAATTAAAAAATATCAATCCTTAATTTAGTACACATCTCTGAGGTCTACCTGTGCTTACCTTAAAATTCTTCAGTGCCTCATCTAGGCTACCATGATGGTAAAGCATCATTCCTCTGAGCTGTAATGTCTGAACGTGATTTTGATTTAGCAACAGAGCCTTCTGGAAGCTCTCTGTGGCAGCATCAAAGTTACCAAGTTCCCTAGGTAATTCCATAAAGTCATAAGTGAGAAACATAAAAAGCAATGGTGAACATACAAACCTACCTTTTTACCAAATAATTTTAACGCAATCCAAATGAAGATATTAAGAAAAGATATGATCTAGCTAGGGCTGATTTTTTTTAAATCACATTAGGGACAATTTCTTTGAGTAAGGTAAGAGTTCTGCAACTTCTTCAGCAGTGACAACCAAACTGTTGTTCACAATTCTTCACCTAACGGATCTACTCTTGGATACAGAATCCCACTAGACCCTGGATTCACACAATTCTCTGTGGGCATTAACTATTGACTATGAAACTTTATGCATTTCCTGGACAGTTCTTCCTCAGAATCGACAAGAATGAAAGCCTCCTACAATGAGCACCCTTGAATAAGATACAATTGAAGACGTCCAGCTGATATCCCCACCCCCAAGCTATTTATAGGATTCAGAAGTGTAAGTAAATTTTATGTTTTTCAGAAGCTGCCATTTGAAAAAACATGTGCCAGTTTTCAGTTAGTGGCCAAACTGATCATTACATTTAGAATTATATAATTTCAGAAGTAGGTACAGCCAATAGAACATGATCTAGTTTTAAAAATTAAATTAAATTAATATCCTTTTGATAAAACTGGAATGTAAAACCAAAGATTCTGAATTCAGTTTACAGTATCCAATTTTAATATATTAAATGAGTTCCAATCAACCACACACATTTAAGATAGCAGCATTAAAAATAAAGAATCAAAGCACATGCAGTTACCAAGCAGAAGAACTAATTTATATTTTTGAAGCTGGTTCATTAACTGATTAATGTTCATATTCAAAAGCCTTTTCAAAAGCAGATAATCTGAAAAAAGATACATTCTATTTCAACCACAAGTTATTGAATTTGCTGCAGGAGTTACTGGGTGATATTTTAAGATTTGTGTTATGTAGGCAGTCAGAATAGATCATCACAATGAACCCCTTCTGTCCTTAAAAAAATTATATGAATTTATGATCTTATCGTTAGCTTAAAAGGTGATCTACAAATAATGTTTGAAAAATGTTGGCAAATAAAAAAATTTTTCCAAACGACTTAAGAGAAATTTTGGCATGTTTTTAATATTTGCTAAACTTTAAATTAGCAGACCTGAATAAGAAATGAAACAACACTCCTGCATACCCATGACTGCCAGCTCCTGTTCAGTTGCATATCCCAACACCCATTTTGCTAACAGTTGCCAAAACCCCCACTGACGGAGCTTGACTATATTAGAAAAGAAAGCAATAGTTGTGCTGAAAAACCTCCTAAAGAATAAAGACGTTACTTTTCAAGAAGTTAATATCGTGTATCTTAATGGATACAGATTTACACATTCACTACTGGGGAAAATAAAACAGGACTTGCCTTACAGGCAGGCTCCAGCACTCAGCCATGGTGGGTATGATGTTACCAGGAAAGTGCATGATTAGATGTGCACCAAGGCACTGGTGATTGCATTGGGTCTGTGCTTGGCAAGAAAGACAAAAGGAGGTAAGTTTGAACTTAATGTGCTGAAATACTACTCTACCATGTCTATTTTGAGACATCCACTACATAACCTTAATAGGCTATTTTTTTTAAATATGCTATTATAAGGTTGCTTGTGCAATTGTTAATTCTGCCCCCTTGTGCATAGTCTTTAACTGCATGATAACCATACTTTTTTCCCCCTGCAGGATCTCTGCCTTTTTTATTCAGTGGACAGGATGAATGACGCTCAGGGAATGAAATAAGAGTGCACAACGAAGGAGGCTTTTTTCTGTAGAATCCTAGCCACATTTGTTACAGAAGTTGGAAGATGTGTAATGAATGAGGCAGGGGACTGTAGGAAGAGAAAGAAGCGTCTCATGGTGAAGACAGTTGAAGGCCATCCTGGAGAACTGAATTCTATCCCTACTCTACCATAGAGTTCCTATGTGACTCTGAAGAAATCACTTAAACCAAGCTTTTCAGAGGTGGTCACTAATTGTGTGTTCCTCATTTTCTGGGTTCCCAACTTGAGGTGCTGGGGTTTGATTTGTAGCAGTGCTAAACGTTAATAAATGTAAATGAAGTCAATGGGATCTGTGTTATGAACATTTAAATGGAAATAAAATGTTTAATATTCCAGTGTCACCAACTCTTGCAATTTCCTCACAAGTAACACAATTTTGGCTGGGGGTTGAACCAGACTCACAATGATGCAAGAAGCTCCATCCCTCTCTTGAATTTCAACCCTGCCTGGTGCAAGGGCCCCCACACCCTGCTATTGGCTACCTATCTCCTGGGAAACAGCTATAGGAGCAAGCAGATCTCTCTCTGCTCCACTCACATGAGCAGAGAGAAGGGAGAGGGAGCAGTCGACACCATTCTCACAGGAGGAACACAAAGCCCAGCAGTGCAAGGATGCTCTGCTTCCTCCTCCCTTCTGTAAAAGATGGATCAATCTTCCCTCTGCTGCTCCCCCTTCCCCTCTCGATCCCTGCAACACAAGGACTGGGAAAGGAAAGAGCCCCTGGACCTGCCCCCACTACAGGCAGCGAAGACTCATGAACCTGCAGGAGCAGTAGATGTGGGAGATGGGAGAGGACAGAACTGATGCGAGGGCTGAGAGGGTTGTATAATGAATTGCTGGGCTCGGGGGTGGGGGAGCTGGTCAGATGGAGGGACAATTAATTAGAATTTTGGGATTAGAGAGATGCTGGAAGCTCTGCACCATCAGGGACACAGTAAAAGCTCCTGTCGTGGTGGCCAAAATCACCTTACTCAAATCAGGGAGAGCTGGCAATGCTAACTGTCACACCCACACATTGGGCAGAGTGTTAAAAAACGACAGATTAAAATCACAACATAATCTTTTAAAAAATAATCACATGATTTTGGGGGGGGTTGACTCATGATTTTTGAACCTTTGGGGTTGGCAATACTGAATTATCTGAAAAAGTCAGGCCCTAGGATCCTTTAACTGGGCACCCAAACATAGGAGACATTTGACAATTTTTGCTTCCATTTTCCATGTATAGAACAGGAATAAAAGGGTTGTTGTGAAGATCAATGAATTCATGTCTGTGAAGCATCCATACTACAGTGATGAGTGTCACAGAAAACCCACGAGGAATTAATAATTGCATACTCAGTGCAAGGTTTAGATGCTGTGGTAACTAAGACATAGGCAAATAACACACTGAATGATAAGGATAAAAACTTGTGAATAGGTGCACAGTGCATCCTGTGCACAAAATGAGGCAGGAGTCCTGTAGGAAAAAATAGTAGGTGATCATGGAATTCAAGACTATATTATGAAGTGTATTGCCAGGGGGGCCAAATTAAGATTACACAGGCAACAATTTATATTGCAGTAGCACCAAATCACACAATGTAGGTGTTTTCCAAACATAATAGTCCAAAATATAAAAGAAAAAACTGACGAAGTACAGAGGGTTGTGGGGAAGAGAGGAAATACAATATACAGGCATAGTAGTCAGGATGATGACTGGTTTATGTAATATATTTAAAAAAATTATAAAACCTATCCACAACTGCTTTTCTACCTAGTTATTATCTGTAGATCACCTTTTTAAAGACATATAAATTAAAAGCCTTAATAAACAAAGTGAAGTTCTCTACTTGTCATTTCAATATCATTATTAAAAGCAAAACTAAAGAATGACCCATTACCTAACTCCTGAAAAAGAGTGCAATTTAAATACATTAGGTTTTTCAAAAGGAATTTATTTTGCTGATACTTAAAGCAAAAAACAACAGGTTGGTTTTTAAAAATAATTACTTCCCAATTTTAGTGTAAGTGTTTAGATTGCAAACACTTAAGGGCAGAGACCCTGTGTTTATATTAATTTATATAGTATCTATCACACTTGTGGCACTATATAATTAAGTCAAAACTTAAACATGCAAAAACCACTCATTGCTGTCTAAATATTATGATTTCAGAAACCATCTAGCAAGTTTTCATTATGAGAATAAAATATTCAACTGTGGTTCATAATGTTTACCTCACTTTATACAATATCACTTGGGGATATGTTTCAACTATGGTACTGATAGAAGCCAAAAATCAGGTAAATGAGGGCCTAAGGGGTATGTCTACATGGCAATTGGAAGTGTGATTGCAGCTCGGGTAGATATACTCGTGTTAGCTTTAATATAGCTAGCAAGGCTAAAATAGCAGTGAAGACATGGCGGCATGGACTGTACAAGCTCTCCTGGGTACATGTTTGTATTGCTAGCTCATACTGGGCCCCCCCCAACACCACATCTTCACTGCTATTTTTAGCGGTGCTAGCTAGATTAAAGATAGCAGGGGTATGCCTACCCAAGCTGCAATCACACCTCTGACTGCAGTGTACATATACCTTAACAGACCTGTTTACTTTGGATTTATACTAAAACCTCTTTGCCTTTGTTTCATTTACATTGAGCTCAACCCTGAAGTCCATGCTATCGATAACTATCAACAATAACGCATTAAAATATAGAGAAACAAATCTGTGATTAAAGACTCTTGTGTTATTTTTATTGATATGTAGTGTTGAAAGTGTGGTAGAGGCTTTAAGCCAGTGGTATTAAAAAGCTATTTCTGAATGTGCTTACCTATAGGCCTGTCCCAGACTCTTATATGCATCTATGAAATCAGCTTTCTGCTTCAGGGCTTCTTTGAATGATTCAATAGCTTCCTACATAAAACAAAAGTAGGCATCATGATTAGCTGTCATTAATTATCCCTGTCTAAAGTTAAATTCAATAACTTTAAATTTAAAGTAATTCAGTAATTACAAAGGATTTTGTGCTGTTATGTAAGACCTGTGGAAGGTTTGACCAAGGCATTATACATTACAAAATCCAAAAGTGTACAAGTAAAATATTACAGTAGTTTGTGCTTCAAATCACACAATAAAAAAGTGCTATAATCCTTTTTATGGCTATAATAAGCTATGAAGTAAGCAACTCTCCCAATACCACATGGAGGGAGGGACAGAACTCTCTTCTGCTGAAATTCAGTCCAATGTCTTAACTACAAGGCCATCCTTTCTTCCTCCAGATCCCTGCCTCACTCACAACACCCCTTTTAACTTTTACACACAGACTCACTTCACAGCCCTGCCCCTCTTATTGTTCTGATGTATTCAAGTGGCTACAGATTCGTGCTCAAAGCCCTACAGAGGGAATTAATTCCTTGTCTATATTTAAAAGTGGTCTGCCAGGATAGATATACCAGTATATTGCCCTCATGGAGATACAGCTTATACTGGCAAAAGAGTTCTTCTGCTGGTATACTTTAAACTAATTGCCCAAATGGAATAAGTTACATTGGCAAAATATTTTTTTGCTGGTATAACTGCATCTACAGTAGGATTTTTTGCTGGCAGAGCCATGTCAGTTGGAGTTCAAGTTACTTTATATGGTCCAGACTTCATTAACCTAAACCTCAGACTCATAGCTCATTAACTAGGACTCAAATTAATTCTCTTGATACTTCTTAGTTTAATGCTTTACTAAATGACAAACAACACAGGTAGGACTTCATTCAGTAGAAGAACTTAAGGCCCACTAAGCCTTTAGGCAAAGATAGGATTTAAACAAATGAATATACGTGTTCTGATTTAGAGAACAGGTAAATGACAGAACTGGCAAATTACAGTATTTCGATTCTAGTTTGAGTGTGTTAAGAATTCAGTTACTGCACTAATTACAATCAAACTTCCACTCCAGGATCTAATCTCATCAAGTCTCAAATTAATCAGGGTGGGTTTAGATCACAATTTAGATAGAAGTGCACCAATGATAACCCAGGGTGCCATAGGAAGTGGTGGCGGTGATTCAGTAGGTAGCACATTTCTCCAAAGTCAGCACTACACTGGGGATCTAGTTCACTACCAAGGGCCACTGTGCTATTTTCAGATAAGATTTACAATAGACAGCCTGACAACTTAAGATCCTTAACCTGCTCTTTCCTGATTTTTGATTGAAAGTTCAGGAATGGAAAAAGTATAGGGGAAAACAAGCAGCAGCTGGGAGATGGATTGGGAGGGAGGAACCCTGAGAAAAAAGCACCAGCAGCTCCCCCCACTCCAGTAAGTTAGGAACAGAACCGGTATTGCCAGCCTCAAACATTCAAAAATCTGAGTCAGACGTTCAAAAATTATGTGATTTTTAGAAAATCCATTTTGTGAGAAGAGGAGTTATTTGCCTTCTGTTTCAAGTCTTTGGAGGCACATGGCTTTTCCCTTCCATAATGTATGCATGAGAGTTTCAGGTTTGGCATGCATTAAATGCATATGTAGAGATCCCCATTGGCTGCCTGGAGGGGACTCCCCTTACCCTCTCCTAATTCATGCAGTAAGGAAGCTACCAGTGTTTTCCTCTCCATCCCCCTTCCTTGTCATATTCCTAGGCATTCTTTTTCATTTGATAGAAAGAAATTTTGGACTTAACTGGACATATTTTCGCTGTCAGACCCTGGGTGTCAAGCACTTTTGAAAATCTGTCCCTATTTGACATCATATATTCCATCAGTCACACGCGTACCAGTGAGAATATCTGATATCTACACGGCACATATCTACATAATGCATCAGATATATTTTCAGTGAACCAAGAAGTGCCACTGGATTTAACAGAGCCTAAAAAGGTTTGGTATAATGATTTATCTCAGTCATGAGAAAAAACAAGGACACCTACAGAATATCTACAACAGCTAGAATATTTTATAGGAATAAAATAATATTAAAGGCATTGTTCTGTAAGTGGATATTTAAAAACAAATTTACCTTCAGAAGTCCTCTATGGAAAAAGGTTAAGCCTTTGTATAGCATAGCTATAGGCTGGTTTTTGTTCAGTTCCAAGGAGCGCTGAAAGTCTTCATGAGCTGTTGCATAGTCCTGTTGGACAAAAATAGCTTTCAGATGACATAGAAATTGCTAGATCTAGCTGATAAAGAGGAATACAAACAACCCTCTTATGGTTACATGTATGCATTTTGCGCCAACGGAGTGATCTCGAGTTCTAGGTTTATACTAATATGCTGACTCAATCTCAACAGTGCTAATATAAAATGCCTCTTCTTTAGAAGGAACAAAGAAAGCAAATATCCTTAAGAAGGAAAATAGAAGGCATTCAGCTCCAGTACCATTTAAAGCAGCAGAGATAGCCAAATGTCAGTAAGAATGGCAAACTAAAAGGAATGTACAGCACAATTTATTTCCATCTTTCCTCTCATAGCAACTGCTGCGAGAAAAAAATGGGATGAAGTGAATGGAGAAACGGGTTGAAAATAGGCTGAGTGAAGTCAACTGAATAAATTGATTTTACATCATTCCCTTGGGATATCAGCTATTCAATGTGCATACCATTTTTGAGGCAACAGTATCTAAACTAACCTGAAGCCGTGTCCTTAAAAATGCCAAAATAATAACACAGTAAAAGCTGTTTTATCCGGCATGTTGGGGGAAAGGGGGGTGCCGGTAAGTGAAAAATGCTGATTAACTAAGAGGGAGGGAGTTTGGGTGCGGGAGGAGGCTCAGGCCAGAGGGTTGGGGTGGTGATTAACTAAGAGGGAGGTGGTGCGGGGTGCCAGATCCAGGGGGCACTCACCTTGGGCGGCTCCCCGCAAGTGACCTGTCCTGGCTGCTCCTAGTTGGAGGCGCAGCAGGCAGCTCTGCGTGCTGCTCCCACCCCGCCCCGAGCACTAGCTCCGCAGCTCCCATTGGCTGAGAACCACGGCCAATGGGAGCTGCGGGGGCAGCACTTGAAGGCAGAGGCAGCGCACAGAGCTGCCTATCGCGCCTCCACCCAGGAGCAGCTGGGACAGGTCGCCGTTTGCGGGGAGCCGCCTAAGATGAGTGCCCCCCAGATCTGGCACCCCGCATCCCAACCTCCTGTACGCCCCAATCCCCAGCCCCACACCCCCTCCCGCACCCAAATTCCCTCCCAGAGCTCACGCTCTACCTCCTTCCCGTACCCCAATCCCCTGTCGGCCTCGCACCAACCATACTATAAACCGGTATTTAAATGAAGATCAGAAATAGAAATAAAGTGGAGTTGCATCATAGGCGCATTTAACTTACGCGATTTTAACTAAACGCGCTCGGCAAAACAAAACAAAAAAGAGAAAAACAACAATTTAAATACTGTACCTGTAGTGCGGGCGATTCCGCCCGCCATTCCACTCAATGAGCGTTTGACTACATGCGATTTTTGCCTTATGCGCAGACTTCAGAACCTAACCCCCGCATAAGATGCGACTCCCCTGTAGAGCTTTCTGGTTGGGGAAGTGCCGGATAAAACAGCTTTTACTGTAATAATTATTTTCATAGCAAGAAGATAGGATTTTAGCATTTTGCAAGGATAACAGATTGTTTTATCCACATCCGAAGAAGTGGGCTGTAGTCCACGAAAGCTTATGCGCTAATAAATTTGTTAGTCTCTAAGGTGCCACAAGTACTCCTGTTCTTCTACAAAAAAAGATTGTTTTATATTGCTGGTCTGGGGTGTTCTCTCTCTCTCTCCCACTCTCACACACACACACTTCTGTATATTTTTCCTTTTTAAAAATGAGTATCCAACAATAATCCCCATGGGCAATTATGATCTTCACTATCAAAGCAAGTTTCTCTGTGCACCCCCACTAACCCCAGAAGGCACAAAAATAGTTATGAGATTATACATTGTCTGCATTCATTTTTATACATCATATCTCCATTTTGCTCCTCTCCACTAAGTAATTCATGAAAACAAAATACTTTAAAGCCTCCTCTGATCACAATTCTCTAAAAAGGCAAGTAAACTACTGGTCAATCACAACTATTTGAAGATCAGTTTTCAATGGGGAGGGGCGAAATCCTTATTCTTTCATGAAAGTAGCATCTAATGGCAAAAAACTAACCTCAGATATGAAGTAAAGAGTACCTCTGTGCCTGTAAAGTCGTGCCGATGGCTGCAGCTGAATAGCTTTGGTGAGATCAGCCAATGCCTCACTAATTCGGCCCAGGGGAGACAATATCTATAAATCCAAAGTAAGCAATTAACCTAGAAAGAGTACAGTTGTCCTAGAGTATGCTGAGCAATCTTAGAACTGTTTTATCTTGCAATATGTTTTTACTTTCATGCCTGTACAATTAATCTTATTCTCAAGTATACACGTAGTTTATTTTGTGTATTTACTAGAGCTGGTCAGAAAACAGAATTTTCATCCCACTGAAAATTCTGACATTTGTTTTTCTCCTGATTCAGGACAAAGTCAAAATCTCAAAATATCTCACAGAACAAAATATTTGGAAATATACTTGAATTTTGATAATGTCAATACAATATACTACATCAGAACAAAATGAGTTGAAATAGTCTATTCTGATTTTAATTCACTTTGAAACTTCTGTCAAAATAGTTGAAGTTGACACAATCAACTTTTTGATTTCAAACGAAATAGTATTTTCCAACAGAAAACTGTTCCAATGAAATGTTTTTGACCAACTCTAGTATATACACCCTTAGATACAAATTAAGAGAGTATTGCAAAACCACTATACCTAAAATAGCATGAAAACTGTGAATCAGAACTTTTTATTAGAAAAAAATGTATACACAATTATGTTGTGCTTTGACAGATGTTTATTTTCTTGATATTTGGAATGCAAAAAGAACTGAACATTTCTTACTCATCATTTCCTTTCTGCTAGGAGTGTCTCCCACATATTTGGATGTCTGAGCAGCTCCCCTTCTTTCTGCAGCTCACCAATGCAAATCAAAGTCTCAGAGCTATGTGCTCTGGGCCATTCCCCCTTTGATCCCACTTACTATCAGATGAGTTATTCCAAAGCCATAAAAACTTCTATAAACAATATTAGTAACAAACACTCCAGAGGTAACTAGACCAACTATGCATGACATGCATCTGACGAAGTGAGTATTCACCAATGAAAGCTTATGCTCCAATACATCTGTTAGTCCATAAGGTGCCACAGGACTCTTTGTCGCTTTAGACCAACTATGTACAGTTAACCATAAAATGTTCACATGGTAAAAACCCCATGCCAGTATCTGACTTTTTGGCTTATAAAACCATTTGGGGTGGGTAAAATTGTGGGAGCCTCTACCAGCAGAAAGGAAACTGTCAGTAAGAAATTTTCGGTTCTACAGTCCAGCGTTTTCCACAAGTCTGGATGTCTGGGAAGTAGCAAGAGGTGAATAGATGTAGGGAGGATTGTAGAAAAGGTCAGAAAGAAGATGGGGGGGCGAAGGTATCCCTCCCCATTTAAAAGATTTATATCTGGGCTATTATCTCCAGCACCTTCCTGCCAAAGGGAGCTTCTGCAGATGACAGGAAGGCCACCTTATAGTGCTTGATAAAGGTAGCAGCTGTTGACCAGGTGGCTGCCTTGCCAATTGCTTGTGTGCCATTTGCTCGTTCTGCCTAGGAGTTAGCCAGGGATCGCTGGGAGCGTGCCCTGAACCTTTCCAGGATTGGCCTTTCTGATGCCTTGTATGCCTCCATAATGCACAGACTAATCCATCTAGCAATGGAGGCTTGGAAGCTCTGGGTCCTTTGCATTTTGGGTGGAAAGACATGAATAGGGCACCCAACCTTCTCAAGGATTCTGTATGTTTGAAGTAGATTTTCAGGCTCTTCTGACATCAAAGGTGCACCATCTCTTCTCTGTAGGATGTTGTGACCTCAGATAGAATGAAGGAATAACCTCCTCTTGGGAAGCATGGAATAAACGATTCCAGAGTTCTGAGCACCACCGTGTCCTCATGGAACAAGCAGTAAGGTTCCTGCATAGATAAGGCCACCAGCTCCGACACTCATGTGGCAGACGTGATGGCTATCAGAAAGCACGTAATGATAGACAAACAGAATGCTGATGCTGGTGTTAGTGGTTCGAAGAGATGACTTGTCAGGGCTCTCAGCACAAGCAACAGGTTCTTTGAAAAAGCAGTCTGACCACTGATTTGGCTAATCGGATTGCTCTAAGAAATCTGCCTACCTGTGGGTTCTCTACCAGATCACAGGATCTGTGCTACAAACAGTCACTTGGAGGAACCTCTTCTGTATGGCAGACCCCCAAGGAGCCCCATTCCTTCTTAGGAGTAGGCCATGCAACCTCAATTCCTCAGAGACTGAGCCTCTGAGCTCCAGCAGTCCTGTTTGACACCATGAGCTCTGCCCATGGAGTCTAACTAAAAGACTCCTGGTCAGAGACTTTTTACATTCTTCAGGGATCAAAGCACCTCAGCAAGCGTTTGCTGTGACCCAGGCTGTCTTTTCAAAACAGAGTAGGGTTTATTAGTCAACTAGAACACAGCATCGGGAAGTCCTTAGGTTAGCACACAGAAATAAAGGTTAAGACAGTCTCCATTCTGGCCAAGCCAGCATTCCACCGCCAAGCACCCATGGGGTCCATTATGGCTCTTTTTCTTGGTCTCTGTCAGTCCAAAGTGAGTGCTCGGTCTTGCCAGCAAAGGTAGCCCTTATTTCAGCCACCTGACACCTTTTGGTTGTTTATCCTCAGTCAGAGACATGCTGAATTCACATGCCTACCTGCTGGAATTTCCTGCTGTTAAATGTTAATTGTTCAGTTGTTAGGAATTCTGTTGTCCTTCCAGATTCGTCACTGATCCATTCCACCCCAGACAGCTACGTGACCCAACCACCTGATATCTCCTGCTCTGCTCCAAGAGCAGAATTAACCCTTTTGTACCTATTGGATAGCAATGCAAAGTATAGAAGGAAACTGAGGCATGCCCAGGCTTCATAAAAATATTACAGAAAATTCCCACGTTGTCGCACCAGCAAACCTGTGGATCCTGCAAACCCCACACTACTAAGGACAAACACCTGACATGCTAGAATGTTCAGTTAGGGACCTTTGTCCAAGCCTTCTTGGAGAAAGTTAAAAATGACCAAAATTCCTGAGATATGCCTCATGTTCCTGGCACTAGCCACAGACCCTGGACCAGACAGAGGAATACACTTTTAGTGTGGATATTTTTCTAGATATAAGTAGTGTCTTGATGACTTTGGACGACAGACCCAGTGATACTAGCACTTCCTTTTCAATAGCAGGCTCTTAGATGCAGCCAGTTCAGGTTCAGATGATGAAGAGGACGTTGCAAGAGAATGTCTTGTCTCTTTGGAAGTGGTGGCGGAGGTCCTATTTTCAGCTCTATCAGGTCTGAAAACCAGGGTCTCCTCAGCCAATGTGGGGTTATCAGTATTACTGACACCTGCTCTCGCTTTATATTTGGACCAATTTCCCTAGTAATGGGAAAGGTGGAAATGCATAGAGGAAACTCTGCAGTCATCTGTGCATAGGGCATCGGTCCACATGGAACTGGGATCTACCACCCTGGTGGAGTATTTTGGTTTCTTCATATTCATACAATTCTCTAATGAAGTCAGCTGAAGGAAGGTTGGCTGATTAACTCAAAGACCTCATGATTCAGGGACCATTCAGAGTCGAGCTAGTCCACCTTTGGTTCAGGTCTCCCTTTTACATAAATCGCTCTGAGAGATAGGAGAAAGTGCTCCACCCACCACATAATTTCCATTCTTTCACGTGTAGCACTGGGCTCTTTGCTCCCCCTGGTTTGTTCACATATGCGATCATGAATTAGGATGTAGTTCCCCACTATACTGGATTGGAACCATCATAGTGCCAGCTTGACTGCTATTAGTACTAGGTGGTTTATGCTATGAGCCATTTCCTCCAGGCTTCAGATGCCTTGAGCTGCTCGCATCCCCAGGTGTGCTCTCCAGTCCTCCACGCTGGCATTGGGTTGTGAGAACCAGAGAATCTGGAAGACATAGGGGCATATCTTCATGGACATTGCCCTGGGCTGACCACCATTTTAAGAAGATGAGCACCTGCATCAGGACCTTTAGTGATACTTAATGTGTTCTGGGGAGTGGTCCCACACATTTAAGATGGAGCCTTGAAGGCACCTGATGTGTGATTGCACCCATGGATTGATCCCTGTGCACAACACTAGGAGGCCTAAAGTAGAAGGCTCAGTGCTTTGGTAGGCCTCTTGTGGCTCCAGAATAATGGAAGAAGGTCCTGAATCTTCTGGAACCTTTCTAGGGATGGGCAGATCTTTGCTATGAAGGTATCTATGTCCATTCCTAAGTAAGGTATTTTTGGTGGATGGAGTCAAGAGGCTTTTCTTGACATTGGTAACAAAGAAGTGTACCTGCAGGAGATTAAGTGTCAACGACATGGCTGTGTGTGTTAATGACAGAGATGGAGCTCTGATCAAGATGTCATCCAGGACTCCAGGAAGGGATACCAGAGGATATCCTGTAATGTGAGTCTGGCTGATTGCCACCAACTTCTTTGCAAAGACATTGGGGGCTGAGGACAGGCGAAATGGGAACATCCAGTATTGATAATGCTTCCTGCCATAAGCAAACCTTAGAAATCTGCAGTGCCACAATGTGATAGAAATATGGAAGCATGTATCTGCCAGGTCCACTGAAGCCAGAAGATTCCCCAAGACAGGGATGACACTATAGATGCCAGGGTCTCCATCCGAAACTTTGTTTTCTTCATCCACTTGTTGAACCTTTTAAGGACAAGAATGGCTCAGATTCCCACCATGTGCTTCTGAGGGAATACTTTCAATTGCTTCCATATCTAAGAGACAAGACATCTCATTCTGAATCAGATTGCACTTTATAGGGTTGTGGGAGATGGGGGAATGGATGAATAATGGATGGGGGGAGCCCGTTGCTCGAGGGAATATCCCTGGCTCACTATCTCCCTTACCCACCTGTCTGTAGTCAATGCAACCCACTCCTCCAGGAAACAGGAAATTCTGCCTGCCCTCTAGCTTCAGCTCTGGGCAGAGGCCTATGTGGTCTTTGTCATAAAGAGGCTTTGGAAAGGGTGGTGTTCCCTTTGGGCTTTCCCCCAAAGCCCAGTTCCACAGCTCTCCTTTGAAGAATCTGCTCTGCCTTCTCTAGTATATCTGAGAGGATGAAGGCCAAAAGGAGCCTCTCTGTCTGAAGGCCGGTCTGTACTCTCTACTGAAAGCAGTAAGTAGCACCAGGAAAGACTGATTTGATTTTTCCACATGGTCCGCCACTGCCCTGTCTAGCTTTTCCTTGAAAAGAAGAGAGTCTGTAAACCTGGCGGAGCACAGAACGTGCTTTGAGTGGGTATCCATCTTCCAGGGATGGAGTGGTAGCTGGTTCCTGGTTACTGAGCTGGAAACCATGGCTATGGCTGAGAACCTCATTGCACCCCTTGAAGCCTCACCTATGAATGCTGTTGCCAGGGAAACTATTTAAAATAGAGCCAGTGTCAGGGTGATCTCTCCTCTTTATGACCCTGAGATCTTTCAGCCAGGAGAGATCATAGCCTCAGGACCTAACTGAGCTACAGACAGAAAACTGGGTACAGCCTGGGCACAACTCACTATCTGCTAAGCCCAGGAAGGCAGTCTCACAAATGGAGAACCATTTAGATTTTGTTTGGTGCTTTTTGGGCTGCTCTGTCATGCCTGAGAGGTGCAGAGGAGCCAGCAGGGAAGACACTGTAGCAGAGGAGCAGGGTGGGTTAAGTCACCCTCTGTAAACCAAACCAGGGAGGAGGAAAGGGAGAACACTGCTCTCCATCCCCAAAATTACCAGAAAGCTCACCGAAGAAAATAGGCAGGAGAGACAGAACTACTGTCCACATGCTGCCATGGAGACAGAGAATCTGGTGGCAAGTGGGAGAACGGGAGAGTGGCCCGAGCACGAGGCACCAGGACTTTGATCCACCTTCAATAACTGCGGAGAGGAGAGAAGGAGCCCAGACACTGAGAATTGTGGGAGAAGCTGGGCTGCAGAAATTGTGCACATTTTTGTAATTGACCACATTGAACATTATCTTCAGTTAAAAGTTACGGCATTCTTGATTAATCTCGTTTATGTTTCTGAACACAAAAGTGCTACATTAACACATACTTTGAATGCTGGATGTTTTAACTGGCAGCCATAATGCAATATGATTGAACTTAGGAATTTTTTGTAGTAGAATAACCATAACTGAACAGGGTTTTTATGTACTATTTGATTCATTACAACAAGTTACAAAGAAAAGTATGATTCTGCGTTATTCAATATATACAAAGCTAAACACTTGTTTATGTCAATTACCTGCCAATCTATGTGGCTTTAGTCACTACACATTCTATACAAGTTTTCAAATACCATGAAATATGTACTTTTCTTGTAGCAAATATGTATACTTTAAAAGCATTTAAACAGGGAGATATATCTAGTGGAGAAAGCAAGAGTTTTAACAATTAAAAAGGTGAATGAAGCCAGAAGAAATACTTTTAAATATCTGAAAGAGTTGCAATTGGAAAGTCTGAGAAAGAAAAATCTCACCTCTGCTCGCTGTTCAAATACTTCAGGGCGATCTGGTTCCAGACTAATTACTCTGCTCAGCTCATACAGGGCAAGCTCAGCATTGTTTATGTCCTTAAAAAGAGAAATTAAACTATATGAACAGCCAGTGCATGCTTTATTATTATATTAAGTGATCTTAGAGTTACACTAATAATTTTTAAAGGACAAAGATCAAAAGACAATCAATAAACAGTAACCTCCAGCCATCAAAGTACTTCAATGTCATTTCTAATAGGGATAAGATACTCTATATTGCAAGTACACCTCTACCTCGATATAACGCTGTCCTCGGGAGCCAAAAAATCTTACCGCACTATAGGTGAAACCGCGTTATATCAAACTTGCTTTGATCCACTGGAGTACGCAGCCCCACCTCCCTGGAGCACTGCTTTACCGCGTTATATCCGAATTCGTGTTATATCAGGTCGCGTTATATCGGGGTAGAGGTGTATTAACTGAACAAGCTGTTTGTATACTAAAACTTAATAACTAAAACTTTTATCCATATGCATCATCTGCAATATTTTGCAAACAGACCCCTCAGTGTTTCATCTTCACTTACTGGTGTTGCACCGCAAATATTCTTTATACAATAAGCATTATGTTTTAGTGCTCAAAATCTCTTCACCAAGAATCATGGTACTACGAAGTGCATTTTGTCAGCTAATATAAAGCCATCGTCACGCTCCCTTGTAACCAAAAAATATGAGGATCTACAACGTGTGCCATAAAACGGTTTTGTCTGATTCAGTTTACACTACTTTTTTTTTCTTGCTGAGTAAAGCAGTCCCAGCAGAAACAGCTACAGCCAGATAAATGTGACTGGAGTTCCTTCCCTTCTGTGATATAACAAGCTCCTCCTGACACTATTTCCCAAGAAAGAGCAAAGCTTTATCCGGAAGAACAAATTAGCAATTCATTAGCTGCATCGGCCAGAAAGGCCAATGCTGTGTTTCATAGTTAAGGACTTTCAAAAATCAAGTTAACTGAAAGACATCCTTATTCTCCAATAACCTAGCTGAACCATGACAAAACTAGCTGCAGAGTCTACACAGATAATATTCTATCTGGTTCATAAGGCCTCCTCTTTTTATCCCACAAGTCTCTGGAGAAAATATTTCCTTAGGCCTTGTCTATACTAAACTTTTCCCTAAAGTTTACCACCATTATCACTACTGATTCACCTGCAACAATGATGGGAACTGTGCGGAACCACTAGTGCTTTAAACCAATGTCATCTAGACCTTTTGATGATCTGGGTTAGAAAATATGGTGGCATTCCCAGTACTTCCCCTACTCTATCTAAAGGTTTTGCAGTACTGCCACGCATTATCCTAGTACCAGAGTAACTTACACATAAAATAGATTGGCAAAGTCCGCATTAGACTTTATAGCTTCTTTAACTCTTCTGTTGTTTTGGGCTAGAGAAACTCTACTCGAGATAAGGGTTTTGTTTTGTTTTTATTGGTTGGTTCATTTGTTTGTTTGAGTTTTTGGGGAAGGGAATGAATTTTGCGTGATTTGGAGCTTTTGCCTGAACCTTTTGCCCATCTTTAGAATCAAGTCAAGAAAAAAAACTTCAAAATATTTCTCACAGAAGCCATCTTTTGTGGAGTGGACTTTTTTTTATAATCAGCTGCCAAAACCAGAGAACTTTTTGCTGAGACAGAAATGTGAAGATCACAGAAAGTGAGTACCTGTCAACATTCTCTAGCACACAGTGGTTCTGCACAATGGGATTTTCCACTGAGTCATCCAATTAATCTGGACTGGAGGAAGTCAGAATTCTAAAAGTCAATTTCAGCTTCCTGACAGGATCTGGATACGTTAATTATACTACATAAAACAAAGGGCTATTTTTTAAAATCTATTTTTCCTTACTAATTTTTTTCAATCATTAATAGCCAACTCTTCAAACTCTGGATCATTGTGTTGGTCTTTACCTATTGATCTTTATATTACAAACTGCTTTGAAAATGGCTCAATTAGGTGCTATTGTGTTAAACAAGAAAGGCTCTGTACATTTCAGATACTTATTATTTAACAAAAAAAATAAAAATAAAAAAAACAAATTATTCATGTTAGTGCCACTGAGGACTTGAATCCAAGAATGGGATATGTATTTAGGGATGACCCCCAGGAGGAAGGGGAGCAGACACTACAGAACATAAATAAGACAATTCAAAGAATACAAAATAGAAGCTGCTTGAAACAGCCCAAACAGTAATGCCATCAGGAGCATCTCACTCTATGTTTGCTAAACAAAGTAGCTGGTCCCCCTCTACCACTTCTTATCAGTCTTCAGGGATCTCCATGAGGTTATGCACACACACAAGATTTTGATGCCTGACAAGTATGGTCCCCAGTCATATAGCATCTTCAGATAAGAGGAAGAGGATGTTTCAGAGAAAACATTAATAGCATGACTACACATACTGAAAGCCTTTGGAACTGTATATATGTTTAATAAATTCTAGTTGATCTAGCTCCTGTAATCTCTTACAGTTTGTAGGCAAGTACTTCTGACAATCATTTAAATTATTAAATACTCACATGTAGTCCTTTTTTCCCATATGCTATCCCTCGTCCATAAATAGCACTAACCAGCTCTGGATCTTCCTATTCAGAGCAGAACACAAGTAAAACAATCTTTAAAAAAAATTAGACTAAGTGAATCGAAGGTGTCTTTCTTCAGCTGCCTACTTTTACTTAATGCTCAGTGTTTAATATTAGCAGGCCTTAGTCATGGTCTCCAGGTAAAAACACAAAAGAGATTATTATAATCCATCATCATCACAAATTCATAACTTACAATTTATGAGCTGAAAATGTCCATGTTTCATCTCTGCCTGCAGGGGAATTACTTGGAAAATGAGCAAAATGTCTTCACCAAATCTGAGTAGAGTTAGTGAGGAGAAATCCCTTTTCCCATGGTAAAAATAATTCTAACCACACAGTTTTTTTTAAATGAAAGCTATAGCAAAAATACCTGATATTAAAATGTGGCATGGGCAGTCATCAGCAAATCAACACATAGGTAACTTTTGTGCTCATTTTTTCTGTTTCAGAGATTCCCACACCATAGAACGTACGGGGCTGTGGCCAGCCAAGTGCCCAGGCCAAGGCAGGGCAACAGAGAGGAGAGTGTGCACGGAGTCCCCAGTGGTTGCAGGGGCGGGGAAGAAGCACAGCCCCACCCTGGTGCTCTTCCCCTCCTCCTCTCCCTGATCGCTGGGGACTCCCTGCATGCTCGCCCTGCTACTGCCCTGGATACCTAGCCAGCTGCAGCCTTCTATATTTTAGATCTTCTAGAGCAGTGATTCTCAAACTTTTGTACTGGTGACACCTTTCATATAGCAAGCCTCTGAGTGTGACTCCTCATATAAATTAAAAACACTTTTTTATATATTTAACATTATAATAAATGCTGGAGGCAAAGCGGGGTTTGGGATGGAGGCTGACAGCTCACGACCCCCCGCGTAATAACCTCATGACCCCCGAGGGGTCCCAACCCCCAGTTTGAGAACCTCTGTTCTACAGCCTGCAGGAGCAAGAGGCTCTGGGCAGGGGGAGGGAGGCAGGCAAGGAGCCCTGGGCTGATCCATGCCATGGGTTCCTCCAGGAATGGAGCCAGCCAGGTCCTGCTACTGCCCTGGGTGGGAGCTGCCCCCTCCCCCGCGTGGCCTGGTCCACACTTAAAACTTAGGTTGATCTAGCTACGTCACTCAGGGGTGTGAAAAATTTTGCACCCCGAGCACCATAGCTAGGTCAACCTAACTCCCAGCTGACAAAAGGACTTCAGCCACCATCTCTCAGAGAGGCGCATTACCTACATAGATGAAAACCCTTCTGTTGATGTGGAAACTGTCTACACTACAGAGGCATAGCTGCAGTGCCACAGCTGTGTCACTGTAGCAGCTGTAGTGCAAACATACCCTCAGTGTACATATAAACACATATGCCATTAGAAAGAGTTAAAAAAAAACATATAGCAGGATGCTATTACATTACAATGTAGAACTTTTTAATGGCATTTTATAGCCTACCCCTGATGTATTTTATATATGTATTGGCTTAAAAAGCAGGCCTATGCTTCAGTCAATAAGACCATCTTATCCATAAGTATACATATTTATAAATCAAGTGTGACTAAGCTATGGCACCCTTTTTAAAAAATTGTCAGCCTGCCATTAAACAATCTGAATGATAAAATAATATGGATTCCACTCCATCCAATCAGAAAAAGAATTTATGCTAGAGAATAAATAACATTTTGCTTAAATATTACAGCAGCCAAGTTCTTAACTGAGAACCCAGTATTAACCTGGGATGGAGTCTGGTTTATAACAACATGGAGCTCCCATAATGCCAGTGCCACATATGAGGTTATTCTGCCAGTAAGTTACTGGCAATATGTTAATTATAACCAAGAATGTAGTAAAAAAAAATCTCAATCTAATACACTAAGAAGTCCTAATCAAGTGAACTTTTAGGAAACTGAACCGTGCAAAATAAAGTTTTTTGTTCTTTTGTAGCTATTCCTTCTAAAACAGTTAAGTAAGTTGGCTTACTTTTTACTAGTTTATTAGGAGACTGAGGTAATGAGATTTTTTTAAAACCACATTTATCCATTGTATTCATTTTCACATCTGATAACAAAATCTCTCCAATTTAAGTCCTGGGATTTATTAAGAGTTAAGTATTTTATCTGCTTTGTCAGCCACAAATGCTATAATGGTTCTAAGATAGAATTTTATAACAATCTGTGTTTTATACAAACCAATTTCCTCAGTGATTAATTTCAAGGTTCATCATCTTAAGTTTAAAATTACAAAACTAGAACAAGCAAACAGTTACCTGTAGCATTGTTGAAAAATGTCTTATTGCTTCATCATATAGGCCGCTGCCAATCAACACGTAGGCAATTGCTGGCAAAGCAAGATTACAAACATTAAAATAAAAGCAACATAGATAACATGTCAAATTTTCAAATATTCAAAAATGTGGTCACATTTAACGAAATGTAAACTAAGTATCTTACTGTAAATCACTTAGCACAAGGGGATCCCAATCCCAAATATAGCCACTAGATGCTATCATAGTTATAGGGAGGGCTAGTTGCCTAGAAGCCAGAGGGACATGCCGGTTGCTTCTGGGAGCTACACAGAGCCAGGGCATGTAGGGAGCCTGCCTTAGCCCCGCTCCACTGCCACTGGACTTCTAGCAGTCTATTAAAATCTCCCGGATTGCTTTCAACAGCCACCGGGAGATCAATGCAGATTCTGGTAGACTCCTGGCCAATCCGGGATGGTTGGCAACCCTAGGTTGGGGGCAGAGAAGAGAAACTAGGACTGGCTGAGCAACGATAGCTGGAGTGTAAGACGGAGGGGAGGCTGGTACTGACTGGACAAGGAGGATGGGAGCCGTTGAGGGAAACAGGGAGGGCAAAATACAGATCAGATGAGGAGCCAGAAGAGACTGGGACTGGCTGGACAAAGACTGGGACTAGGAACCAGCATCAGGGGAATGGGAGATGAGCTGACAATGAACTGGGGTGCAGAAGGAGAACTGGGACTGGTTAGGGTAAGGGTATGCACTAGGCAGAATGGGGGCCAAATCAGGACCGCCAGATGCTTTTGAATAGACTGTGAAATGTTTTTTTTTGCTTTTTTGTTTTTTTTACTTCTTATTATCATTGTTATTATTTTTGTATTATTTTCTCTGGTGTCTGGACCTTGACTATACCTTGACAAAAAATAATTGATTGCTCTGGGGTTAGGCAAAGTCTGGGACAAGGAGCTAGGAGACTAGGACTGATATAACCTTAATTCTGTCATTTCCTAACTTTAGAGAGCTTGACTTTGAAACCTTAACATTCCAGCAAGCGAGTGAGTAATATAAATAACAGGATGGTATTGTGGTTAAAGCACAGTATAGGGAGTCAGTAGACTTGGGTTCTATTCCGCCTCTGACACAGGTTTATTATGTATAATAGGGAAGTCACTTAGGGATTATTTTTGAAAGGTTCAGGGTGCCTGCTCCACAAATTTAGACGTGGGTACTCCAGAACATCTGAAAATCAGGCACCTAGCCTTCCTATTTCAGTTTCCTTATGTGTAAAATTTTCTCCATATCATAAAAGATATTGTGAGGCTAAATTTATTAGTGATCATAGAACAGTTTGAAATCCTCAGATGGTAGACATTATTACACATGGATTAGTTGAATTTTTGCTTATTATTAAGTGTTGATATGGTCAGTATAGAATAAGACACAAAGACAGACCCTGTGCTACGGAGCTTGGAGTCTAGAAGATACACAAGATAGGTCCACATTGGGAGACATAAATGATGACAATAGGTTAGAAAGTAGAGGGCTTTTGTTGTGGCTTTTCCTAATCCTGTCTTCTGCACTTATATAATGTTGGGCCATTTGGACAATGTTATTTTTCTTTTTGAAGACCAATACCTGCCCTCCACAGCTTACGGTCTGGTATAAAGAATAGTCCACACCATTTCAACTGCAAATACTTAACTAAAAAAATACTTCACATGAGAGGCTACTGTGTTTTTTTCACTTGTTTACTCAGTGGTATGTCATGTTTCTTGGAGAAGATTGCAAAACGTCTTAGAATGGTTTAGATAACTTACCTTTTATAGTTATATTGGAGAAAAAGTCTGAACCTATGGCAGTATTTATGTTGCAAGTGTCAGGGATGAAATTTTACACATTTATGATAAAACACTTTTAGTAGGTCTTCTAAATAGGTCTGGCAGCAAGCTCTTCAATAAAGTTTAAGAGCCAAAACCTGCTCTTGGATACACAGATGCAACTTCTACTGAAGATAATGGGAACTGCATGTGCTCATCAAATTGCAAAATTTGGCTGTAGTAGCTTAAGATACAAGTTTGTTTGTTTGTTCAGAACATCTTATAACTGCAGAGATTAAGACAGCTAAAGTTATCAGAAACTTTTGTGTGTGTGTGTTAGTTTACCTTGACAGCTGTATTGCTAAAAGGAGTTACCAAGGCTTTATTTTTCAAGCATTAGAAGAGAGTTATTAGTAGAAACTCAACATGTTAAGTTTATTTTAGGATGCAGTACTTGGTGGAGAGGTATGGCAGACATAGGCTTTCAGTAAAATATTTGTTTTTGGTGACAGCCCAGCTAAGTTTGTCAGAGGAGGAGTCAGAAAAAGGCAGTAGGAATTCAGGCTACTTCTCAATTTCTAAATAACCCTTTAGTAAGCAAGATGAAAGCAATAGTTTTGTTAAACTCATTTTTCTAACATGTTCATCTATCACCATGACATAAATACCTAGAATATGTAGTATATTTTTCAGTGAGTTTAGTGTTTGTGAAAGGTGCTGGATATATATCCCTAGGGAACAATGACCCATTTATCCACAAAACAGGTAGAGATTGAGTACAGATTTTCCCATGCCCAAAGTTCCCAACTGACTTGGAGGGATAATTTCTAGGGACAAGAGAACCATTCTTCAGCCTATTCAACCCTTGGCATCTCAGCTGAGATTGCCAACAAAGGTGCTAATTAACAGCAATCGCGATGTTTTTCTGTCATGAAGAACCTGGCTTTTGCAAAGCAAACACATTCAGGTGGCATTGTTGCAAGCCATTGCTGATGTAAAGGAAAGAAAAAAATACACATACAGGTGGACAGTGCTGTCATTGTGCGGAGACATTTCTTAATTTTGTCCTGGGAATTGGTTTAGGAAAGGGCCAGCCCAACCTGCACCACTATTAACATGTCTGCACTGGGCAGGGTGAAGTGTTTGTTTATCCTGTGTAGGGATATGCCTTTGTATATAAACAAAAATCTTCACTATGCATACACCACATGAGAATCAGTTAGGAGGTGAGGCTGCACACAGTATTGCTGCAGTATGAGGAGTGAAAGGGACCCAATGGCAACTAGAAAGGCTCCTTGGATTTTCTTCATTTGTCCTTCTTCTCTGCCAAATTCTTAAATCTACTTCATTAGCCATCATTCATATGGTATCACAATCATTCCCAAGGTAATAAATTATTGTCACATAAAGGCAGACTGATGACTGAATACACTAGTTTTGTGGGAAAGAGAAGGATTGGGGAAAGGAGCAAAACAGTGAAAAGACACTGCCTAGAATGTCGTAGGCGATATGAGAAGCGCACGCTTTGAGGAGTCCCCACGCAATTCACATTTCTTCCCCTAAGGTTTACTAGAGCAGGAGAAGCACAAATAGAAGGACCTAGGCTCAGAAAAATGCCAGACATCTAGGAAACTCCTAAGAAGACACTCCCGAAAAGATCTACCTGAAGGAGGAGTAGGGCAGGAAGGATGACAGGCCATGGAGCCAAACATGGGAATGGGGTTCCTTTGACATTGCTGCCTGGGCTCCCATGTGGCAAATGCTGAACCACTGGAGGGGCTGAAAATTTACTGCTAGACTAAGGAAGTCTCCAACCTTCCTCAAAATTCTCCCGAGAACTTTCCCCCTACCAGACAGAGACCAAGCTGAAGTGAGAGAGAGAAAATGGCAAACAATTCAAAAAAACAAAAACATTAAAAAAAACAAACAACCTCAGCAGCACAGGTTTCCCTCAGATACCTGTTTAGAAGACATCTGCCTCTCAGCACAGAAGCAGAAGGCTGTAGAGCAACGTCACAGCAGTTCACCAGGTGCACTTCTAGAGGGTGCCAACAAGTAGACTGCATAGAGAAAGAAATCCACAAGAACCTCCCACCAGCCTATCAGACTTAGAAAAGGTAGGAAAAACAGCAGTTCCAAGCTCCATGGAGCAGCAAGTTCACTTGAGAGAAAGCTTCTCTCAAACATCCAGAAAATCTTCAGTTATCAGCCATGACAGGAAAGAGAGAGTAGAAAGAGTTCATGAGTGTTTAACAGGGTTTGGGAAAATATTTTCTTCACATTTGCATAACCAAATGAATGGTGAAATTTCCCACTGTGCAGAGTAGAAAGAAGTACTATGAGGAAAAAAGATACATGATGGTCTTTCCACATAATTAAAAACAAAAGGCTGAAATTTTATTGTGCAGGAGTGATAAAAGTGATCCTAAAGCATCCATCAGAATTACCAACTATAATTTTACAGTATCAAAACATTGTGCCTCTGAGTGGCATCTAGAACCACCCCCATAAACCTTATATAATTATCTTACCCAAATCTTCATTTGTGTTGTCATTATCAGTGGCAAATGGGAATCGCTTTTGTTCCGCAAGTGACTTTGCTTGGCTCTGTAAAACATTATGGTTTTAACATTTAGCTGACAATAGCAAAATAAATCAATCAATCAATCAGAATTTAGCATTGGACAATTTAAGGCTTAAATCCTTAAAAGAACATCTGACATCAAAGTAACTACTACTACGGTATTAAAGCAAAATCCATGATACAACAAAACTGAAGAAAGGCACTAAAATTTATTCCTAACCTTTTGTGAGGGGATAAATTGCTTTTCAGATGTCACTGCTATCCTCTGATACTACAGCCAACTTTAACATACCAGATGAAAGTCTATACACCTAGGACAACCAAAAAATATAAAACAATGTCCTTACTAATAGTATACATCCCATTTTAACTTGAATTATGGAAATGTCCCTAAGCAATGTATTACATAGTGGGAGGAAAGTTTTACCCTTTGTCCAGTGAGAAGAAAGAGTGAAGGACTATAAAACAAATACATAAGAAAATAGACCCAATAATAAAGGACAGAAGTTTCATTAAGATTTTTTTTTAAAATCTGGCATTGTTAATCTCTTCACTACTACATGCCTTTACAATTAAAACATATATACTGGAATTATAGAGAAAGTAGGGACCACAAAAGCTGACTTGCCTGGAAAAATCTCTTTCCAGAAAATGTATCTGCAGAACAGAATAATATGAAAATGAAGTGTACATGGAGATGTCCAAACAAGTATAAACCCCTTTGATTCATACAGAGAACGCCCACTGATTCCTTGAGTCTTGCCTAGAACTCCCATTGCAGTTTAGGGCCACAAAGATGCTTTTCTCAAACAGTGATGCAAACATACCTCTTATGGATCAAGTTTAAATGAAGGATGTGATGTTTGGGCTAGTAATCTTTACTAATTTAATTCAAGTACATTTTTAAGTGGTTTAGTTCCGTTTTTGTCAAAGCTGTAGAGAAGAAAGAGGGCTCCAAATGATCTAAAGATCTTGTACCAGATCCTTGCCGGAGTAAACTGGCATAACTGAGTGTCAATAAGCTAAGTCAATTTACATCAGCTGTGAATCTGGTCCCATGTTTTTTCCCCCCAAATGTAGATCACAGAAGTTATTAGATTGCTTCATTAATATGTCAGCTACCTCATTATTTAGGAGTTGTACATATTATATCCCTCGCACACCATTCAGAGCAACACGTCTAGTCAACGGGTCATGTCTGGCAACCTTGAAAACAGAAATGGTAAATGACAGAACACTGCTGACTGAACTGTTGCACCATGGACCCAGAGTAGGATCTCGCTGCAGATATATCAGAATCCTTTATTTTGAGATGGATTATGTCCATTATCATGTAATAACTGATTGCATTTACAAAAATAACTAGACAATTGCTACCAAATAAACAAAAAGGATGGATCTCCAAAGTTACCAACTCTCTACTTGCTATCTTTAAATGTCTATTATAAAAGTTTTTGCCTCTCTGCCCACAAAAACCGTATACATCAAGGAGTCCCAACTCTTGCCAGCATCAAGATATGCTCACATTATGCCAGTTGCCAGAACTTCAAGGATAAGTCAGCCATGTTTTGCCACAACGTAAGTATACAGTGCAGCAAACACCACACAAAACAACTGAAGGCATTGAAATGGACTATAGGAGCAAAATTGTAGCCAGAAGTAGCTGAACAACCAATCCAAAAGACTTTGTACTACTGTCTCCAATTTTTCTTGTTGAAGTCAATGCAGCTAAATCTTTGGCTGAGAGAAATTTAAGGCATATTAATTCTAAAAGAATCAAAGAAACGTGGACAGCATTTTTAGTACCAAAAGCAAATCCCATTGTACAGAGGGAACACAATCCTGACGCTCTTGATCAGTCAGTCTGACTTTTTTGGTCTGTCCTGCATGCTTGTACAGCACCTAGCACAATGGGGTCTGATCCTGACTGGGGCCTTTGGGCATTACCACAAGATTAATGTTTTATTTATTTGTAACCACATTTACATTGATACATTTTAAAACTTACAACTAAAAAAAAAATGATGAATTTAACCAAAGTTGGGTGAAAGATTTTTGCTACTGAAGTCAATGCTACCCAAATTTAGATTACTGCTCATCTAAATTATTCTAAGGGAAGTATCAAACTGCATGCACTCAAGAATTTAAATATAACAGCTCATTGGATAAAGGCTTTCCAAAAGTGAGTTATGTCAAGAAGCAAGTGAAAGACAGGTCTTCAGTTTTCTTCTTCTGCTTTAGATGTCCCTCTCCCACCCATGTCTTCAACTTCACTCCTGTTTTTTCCTCCCCAGCAAAAGGCTTCAGCCTTGTTCTTGTCCCCTTCAAACAAGCATAGAATTGTTACATTAAAAAGTTTCACTCCATAGTGCATCTGAGTAATGGGCACTAATGGATAAGGCTGCAATTCTGTCATGCAGGTCGCGGAAGTCACGGATTCCGTGACTTTCCGCGACCTCTGTGACTTTTGCAGCTGTAAGGGCCAGTGCGGCTGATCCCGGAGCCAGCCGGCAGTCCCAGGGCAGCTGGCTCTGGGGAGCCCCCTAGCAGCGGTCCTGCCAGCTGCACCGACCACTGCTCAGGCAGCTTGGGGTGGCTGGCCCCAGGGAGCACCTGAGCAGCGGTTCCAGGAGCAGCTTTGAGGAGGGTCCGAGCAGCGGTCCTGCGGGCAGTCTCGGGGCAAGCTGCACCGGTCGCTGCTCGGGCGGCTGGCCCGGTGGAAGCACCCGAGCAGCAGTCCCAGGGGCGGCCCCGGGGAGCACCCAGGCTGTGGTCCCCAGGGCCTCGGAGCAGGGGTGGCTGGGGCCCCACAGCAGCAGTGTCCTGGGGCCCCACAGCAGCAGTGTCCAGGGCTCCAGGAGCTGCTAAGTTTTAATCGGGGGTATTTATATAGTAAAAATCATGGACAGGTCACAGGCCGTGAATGTTTGTTTATTGCCTGTAACCGGTCCATGACCTTTACTAAAAATACCTGTGACTAAATCTTAGCCTTACTAATGGAATGATCCACACCCTAGAACAGACATTGCCTAAACTGCACAAGAGAGCCACTGCCCAATACATGCTAGAGCCATAGTTCTGGCTGGAAGAAAAACCTTTTCCAGAAACTGTTGGCATTTGAAGAATGCTAATACATACCAGTTATCTTTGGTTAAAAAAAAAAAAAAAAAAAAATCTTCAGGGAAAAGCAAATCAATAGTGACCGATATTTAATTGGGGTTTTATTGACAGGAATATCAGTTTCTTTATTACTATGCAATAAAACCTAATTATGATTTCCCTATCCACTGAGACTGGCATTTCTTATTGAAAAGGTTATAATTCTCATACAGTCTCCATATTATTGTTTCAATTTCTGGAATCTGATGCCTCAATTATGATAGGATAGGCATGGTTTCTTTGTTATACAAGGTTGGAATGAACAACACGATCAAGTGTAATAATATTTCAATTGTTGTCTCAACTAGGAAATTAGAGTTACACTAAACACCCTGATACAGTTAGAAATCCAAACGGATGGTAATCATTTTTGGATTTAACTACTATGTTTAAGGTACATTTACAAAAGAATACTTTGCAAGGCTAGAGTGTCAATGGCAGTTACAAGGTATTAGTGAATGAACTAAAAGGTTTTGTTCATAGAAAATCCATCATACAAGATCTTGTAGTTCACATCTGTAGATTAATCTTTTAAAATCTGTTATTAAAATTAAGATATGAATAATCATGACCTGCTTCCTCCGTACTGCACATATTTCTAATGCACCTTTCACCATATGTCTAGGTACCAGATATACATCTGACATGAAATGTTTTTGGAACTAGCATTCTGCTCAAGATTTCAAGTGGAAAATAAATTTCAATCAAAAGGAACTTGCATGACTTGATATAGGGGCAAATCACAGGAGCTGGTGGTGACACCAACGAGCTGGGATATAGAGTTTGTATCAGTGAAGTCAGAAAAAAATTCCCAGCTGTGATAACAGAATGGTGTTTCCACTTTAATTTTCCTGGGCAATTTAAATTAACAGGGTCCAGGATTAGAGAGATTAGCTGTAGAGCAAGTATGAAATTAAAGAATTAAGAGTTATTTTCAATTTGGTTTTCCCTAGGTCTAGCCTGTTTGTACATATACTAATCACATACTTATGAATATTTTGTTACAATATTAGGTGTAATGATTGCTTATTTTTTAGGCTGTAAAACATGTTTAGAGCAATTGTATAAAATCCCATTTGGCCTTTGGCCTTAAAGGAATTTATGATTAAATTAGTACTTGGTGGTCTCTCATACCAATAATCTCAAATATTATTGATGAATTCCATCATTAGCTTGTTTTTATTTGCTTGGGATATGGGAAAATAAGGTGCTTTATCCAATACTTTCCAGGGAACTGGATGGATGAAACTGTAAGAACAGCACTGATTTCTTCAATATTTTTTGTTCTAAATTTCAGAAAGATTATGGTCTTGAACTACAGGGCAATTTATAGAGTGCAAGTATATTTCATTAGTATGGAGTGAACACCCTGGAATCACTAGGTCAATCAGGAGATCTGGTCAAATAAATAACTGCTGTGGTGACAGAACAAAAAATTAAGACTAAGAACTGCAATGGCCGATTTGCACTACATAGGAGAGTTAGGCTTTTTTTGTTTTTAAATTACCCCAACAGTGATTGCTTCCAACTGGGATAGTCTTCTCAAAGTGCATGTTTACACAGGCTATGACCAATTATTTTTTAAAACAGTTTCCCCTGCAAACACACACACCATGAATCTCTCTCTCGCTGACATACTACAGAAATAAGAGATTCCACAAAGTCAGTGACCATTATACAGCACTGAGATCATATATCCTGTAAAACTACTGTGATCTTTAATAAAATAAGTTGGGTAGCCAGCATTATTGTTATAAAACACTATGATTTTTTTTTTATCTTGAAGCTGTCCCTTCAGAATTCTCTATGCAATGATAGTAGATGATGACAAAATGTGATGTAGAGTGACTGAATTGATTAGGAG